CTACCACACCCTCCAGGGCTATAGTAATGAACATTATTTTCACAAATTATTTATAGTGTGCGGAATATTTTTCCATTGAGTTCTGTTTATTCGAGCATTTGATGCAAAGTTTTGTGATTTTTTTGTTAAAATTATTATTTTATTTTAGAAGTGTTTAAAAGTGTTTCTTAAAGTTAGTAAAAAATGGTTGACGGAATCGGAAAGAGTGTTAAATATGCGATGTTTGCCGTAAACGGGATTATATTTGTAAGTATAGTTTCTTTGCATCAATCATTTATACTTATTATACAGTAATGGCTTTTCATGATATATTGCAATAACTTTCGTTAACTTAAATCTTTATCGTTTCTTAATATTTATGAAACAAACATTCATCATAATAACCATACATATACATTATATAAAATTATTTTATTTGGTAATTTATTGCTACATTTTATGTATTTTATTTATATTTATAATTAGGACTTTTTTAAATATTCCCTTGATTAGTCTACATATAATATTAATATTTAATGAATATAATTTTAAGTACAAATAAGTTATTAACAATTTTAATATTTCTAACAAATTTTGCTGAAACTGAAATTAAAGATTAAAACATAAATAAATTACCTATTTTTGAAATGTCAAAAATAGTAATATATAATTATAATGTAGAATTAATTAGATTAAACATTTAAATAGAAATCAGTTCAATGATAATCATCACATATAATGCTATATTAAGCATTGATATTAGAAAATCGGCAGTTTAGTGACTTTTATCATAAATTATTTAAATTATTTGATAAATTTTTAAATACTTGATTTTTTATTTTTATCAAATTATTTCAATGAATATTAAACGCAAATATTATGTAAATTAATGTGTTTGTAATGATTGACAGATTGGAGGTCTGGTAGTGTTTTCAGTGGGCGTATGGACTTTAGCCGACCGTTCATTTATGGAGCGATTGCTGGGCAGCAGTCTATACGTGAGATTCAATTACTAAATCTATTGTGAAATGATGTGAAACAATGTGTGTTTGATATGAAGGTTGCGTCGGCAGCGCTATTGATCGCCGCCGGAGTGATTGTGGCCATCATTTCATTCTTAGGCTCTTTTGGCGCATATAAGGAGATCCGTTGTATGCTTTTGACGTTTTTCATCATTTTATTCTTCCTCTTCATCCTTATGCTTGTCGGAGGAATCCTGGGATATGTGTTCAGGAATCAGGTTTATAATGGTCAAACTTCAATGTAATTTTGCAAAACTAATTTGTTTATAATTAACCATAAGGTTGACGACCGGATGTACAGAGAAATGATAACAACTGTTGCTCTCTATAACAACGACACTGCGGTCACTGATGTGAGACGTTTATTCAATCAATTATTTATTTTCTAAACTATTAATATCAAAACTGCTTTACTTTAATTTCTATATAATTTACATACTTTTACAAATGTTTTATACTTTTACTTTTAATAGGCGTGGGATTCCGTGCAAAAGAATGTAAGCCTTAAATTGTGTTATATTTTAATTGTATTAATAATAATCAAATTTTGCCCGAAAAATAGTTCAAATGTTGCGGAATGTCAGTAAACGGCGCCAAACCGTATGAAATATATCAGAGACAGAATAGAGGAAGTTTTGGTGGCGGCGCCGGAAGACCTAAAGTGCCCATCA